TTGGTTTCAGTAGGGAAGTTCGAAAGAAGGTGTGGTTTATTCAGGATAGTTTGGTGTTACTACCTTATTGTTCTTTGAATTATATTTTAACAGCAAACTGAAGATGCCAAAGATGTCCAGTTTGCTCTTCAGTACAATAGGAAGTCACAAAAGAAAAACTTTTTCATGTTGCACTTAATATTGCTATAGGCCTCCCGAACAGGTATCCCACCTAGACCATTCGTTTTAGTGTCCTTCGTAAATCCGCGAAACTGATTCAGTTACTCTCTCCTCAAGAGACATACCTAATCACAAAGCTTTTATTTTGTAGTTTGCTCCTCATCCAGCAAAGGCAAGATTGCTAATCCAGATTTAAACATGAACGATATTTTGGAAACAGGTAAGGTCATCCGAAATTAAATGAATTATTTCATTCCACAATACCAAAGAGTTAAATACATTTTAACCTAATTTTGACTATTATATTGACTCAGTATCTACCCCGTGACGAAAGTTTTAAGGTAACTAATAAAACCTCAGCCCATGATCAGACTCCATTTCACTCTGCCTTCCGTAAGAAAGCCCGAGTCTAAAAATGGAAGTCGTTTTGTCTCGGTCGCCAAATGGGCGGTTATACTAGCGGAGAGCGCGCGGGAACTAGGGATGAGAATTGTTACAGCTTGCTATTGTGTGTTCACCCTTCGTTAAAAACATGATTTACAGAATGCTGTGTTTGGCGGAGAAAGCTTTGGGAAGTAACATGCCTTATACGATCATCTCACATACAAATATGTCGAGCGTTTTTCAATTCTATAGCTTGAAAGTTAGGCAAATTACCAAACTTCATACTAGTCTCCCGAGCCATACAAATGAGCCATACATGAGTTCAAAACAAAAATATGAGTACTGAGGCCCGTTCCAAATGCCGCTCCATTCATGCTCCGAACCTAACTGATGAGTTAAGTACGGTAGAAGAGCAGCGTTTGAATCAATTTGGTTCGGCAGGTTAGGTTTGGTGCGGCAAACAACATTAAATTCGGCAGGGTCTGTCGCACTATACGACGTTGGAGCGGCAACTGATTCATACGGCGTTCTCCTCATGTGTCGAACCTAATGCATAAATTACTATAATGTATTTTTCATATAACGGGACACGTGATTGGCTCAAAATTGTGTGGCGTGACCAGTCATGCATGAAGCTCGAAGTCGTCGCTAAAAATAAAGACAGCAAAACATGCTTTTAATGTGAAGTATATATGAAATAATTCATATGCTTTTGATTTATGAGAAACGGGACTGTGTAAGCGGTTTCTTTAGCGCAAATTCATTTTTTGCTTTTTCTCCGTGATAATAGCCCAGCTTATGAGATTTCCCTTTAACAAGTCGAATTAACCGGGAGAAAACCTGTCTAAATGCAAACACCGAACCTTGAATTTGAATTTGCTTCCCTAAATATTGCTATAACAGCGAAATGTTAGTCACAACTTTTCTATTTGGACAGAGTTCTTGAATTCATAACGCATATTTTCTAGTCGAAAATTGTTACTACCGGATTCCCGAATTAAGTTCGACGCAAGTACGCCGTCTGAACCAGCCGTCGCTCCAAAGTCGCTTTAAAGTCGAACTTAATCAAGTTTGGCTCGGCACATGAGTGGAGCGGCGTTTGGACCGGGCCTGAGTAGCTGCGAAATGTTTGATAATGGGATACGAAGGCCGAGTAATCGCTCTTGGAACGTCTAGTTTCTTTGTGAAAATTGAAACTAGACTCCTGATCGGAATGAAAACAACTCAATAAAACCAGTAATTTTTCCCAGAGGAAGACAGAGAGGAATACCAGAGGGTTGATACGCTTTTGTTATTTGTGGGCTACTCAAGAAGTCGCCATACTCTGCTGGCATCTCTTCTCGATGGACATCCACACATGGTGGTCGCCAATGAGAATGACCTCTTTGCCCGCCTAAAGAACGGGGCGAAGTTCAAAAGAAACGAACTGTTTGACATGTTAGTGAAAGGATCAAAAAGTTTTCTAAAAGGAGGGAAGGGCATGGTAATGACAGGAACGCTTGAAAACACAACACATTTTGGATTCTGGATGGAAGGGTATTGGCAAGGGAAGTATGACAAATACCTTAAAGTAAGTAAAAATAGCAGAGCCAACAATACCGACCTAATACTTCGCCACGTCCCTAGCTCTTGATGTTGTCCAGTAAAAGCGAATGATCCAGCGCTACCTTGGTTCAGTTTCAAAAGGGACTGCACTTGGCAAAGAGGAAGGCTAACTATAGAGAACTCTTTTTTCACTTCCGAATCGCTAGCTTTACATCCTCTAGACTAGCACCTTTTCATGTTTTTCCATACCTATTTGATTTCATTAGCTGCGTGTTTGAAGTTTTAATTTTTCTCCAGTCACTTCCAAAAAGCAAAATACGCCGAGTCAACTCTCAAAGTTTCTCACTGAAAATGAGCAACGCTAAGCAACACTCTCACAAAACAACCATACTACAACTGATGCCATACGTGGTATACTCCACAGTTCCCTTTTAAGCCATTGACCAAATCACACCCTCCAAATATTTAACCCTTCCACTGCTAACATGAAACTAGAACTAAATCATCATGAGACGACTCTTTACCAACTCATTTCATCCGCTACAAAACGTTGAGATTGGTGACTACGCTCTTAGAATGATCTCTTTAGCATTGTTTAGTGAAGTGACTGTTTGCACCCGAACAACAACAACAACAGCAACTCAGTGGCTACACGAATCTCTGAAGAACTGGGTCACGACAAAGCAATAATCACTGTCACATAAATCGAGGCTATTTTTTCTCCCGTTTTTCTTACAATTACCTAGGTTGTTGGTGACAAGACAGCTTGGAGTACATCTGCTGTAATTCTAAACATGCCGCGTGATACGCTCATGAGTTTGGTGGAGGACACTGAAAACAAATATAGAGTCAAAGTGAAGTTCATTCACATCATAAGGAATCCGTTCGACATCGTCTCAACAATAACCTTGAGGAGAACTAATCAGTCAGGAGGCAGGTTCGAAGACCACATAAAGAAGGTAAGAGAACTTACCTTGTACTAATAGTCTTGTCAGGTCCTAGGAAACCACGTTTCGTAGTATATGTAAGCGTTCTTATTAAAGATAAATAAATAAATAAATAAATAAATAAATAATTTAGAAAGAAGCCACCTCGGCCTTAGCTGGTTTTCATGCGGGTCCTCTATCCTGCTCGGATTGGAATTAGGAGATGTTGGTTTTTGCGGAGAGAGAAAAACCGGAGAACCCGGAGAAAGACCCTAAGAGCAAGGGGAGAACCAACAACAAACTCAATCCCCATATGGCACGGACCGGATTCGAACCTGAGCCACACTGGTGGGAGGCGAGTGCTCTCACCACTGGACCATCCCTGCTTCCCTTTTAATTGACGTTTGCTTCAGTTGTTCCAGGAAACAATCAAAGAGTCGAGAGCCTACCTTGAAATTTTGGTTTACATTCTTTAGGTTAATGATCCAGAACTGTTAGATCACAGCATGGATAGATTCTTTCGCTGGGCTGAAGGAAGCGCAATCGCTAGAGAGATTCTTGGAGACAAGTTATTGGATGTAAATGGCCTCGAGCTCGTGCTGAAACCAGTGGAAACCATGTCAAAGATTTGTCGGTTTATTGAAATCACTTGCAGTGACGAATTTCTCAAGGCATGTGCGAAGGTCGTTGATCCAACGCCTTCCATAACAAGGCATTATGTGGTGTGGAGCAAGGACCAAATGAACAAAATGTATTCCGTTATAGAACAGTATCCATTTCTTTCTCATTACACATTTAATGATTAGAACGCGAGTATATAGGCAATGGTGAAGCAATGCTCCGGTAAGCTAAATAAAGTAGGTGAATTTCCAATGTTGCAATTTTCAAAAAAGTGTTCAAATGTTGTTGTTGTTTATAGTGGTCAATGCGCTTAGCTACACCTAGCTTGTTCTCAGGTATGCCAGTTAAACTGAAAGAAAGATATATTTCAAATAAACTGGCGGGAGACCCCGCGGGAGACAGGCCAGTTGACTATTTACAAGCATGACCGAGGAGTTGAACTAAGGTCTACCGAAAAACAACTCCAGCTTAGTGGTCAGAGCGGGCGCACCCGCGATCCCCGGATTTCAAGTGTTAGGGTTACATTACATTACATCGATTAAACTTTGGTTGTCGGCAGGTTGAGCAAGTACAGAACACCATTACAAGCCAAAAGCCCGGTGTTTTGCCAGTGTTGAGAATTCTTTTCATGACAATCATTCCGCATCCGCCCTGAATTTTCTTAGTTTTATATTTCTATTTAATAATCAGGTTGAGCTGGACTGAGATTTCTGAGGTGATAAGTTGATGAACCTGAGGGCCGAAACAACTACTCTTTCAAATAACGATTTCCAGTTATTTCTCTACAT